TTCTGTAAAGTTATCAAGTATATAGGTATTATTAAATATGGCCCATCTAATCAAATAGTATTTTTCCTTAGGAAAGTGATACCTATTGCACTATTTAATCTTATGGAAAGTGCCCTATATCACACGCGTGTTATAAATCTACTTTTTACCCGTGTGTAACTATAAATCTACTTTCTGCATAAGCTGTCAAATATGTCAGACGTCTAATTTATATTTTGATTGATGTAATATCAATTTTAATAGTAAAATTGATTTGATGATTAAATGTTAACATTAATTTTTAAATATAAATCTCTAATATTTCTTTTTAACAAATTATTAACAGTTATTTATGCAATAAGTGCAATAAACACTTTTTGCACGAGTTGCATACAATATTTTTTCTAACTTCATGCAAAAACCAAAAAATATTTTATAGAACTGCAGTGTATTATCCAAATCATAGTAGGCGTGATCGTTTGAGGCATTTATTTACGTTTGTGTTCATAATTTGTAATGACATTTTTAATAAAATACATTTCTTTAATAATTTATTTATTAAATGATTAAAAATAATATAAAATATGCAATTGTTTTTTAAACGTAACACAGAAAATAAAAATGGACTAAATATTTGGCGTTGATTTGAATATTTATGTTTGTCATGATCATAAAACGCTGTAGTAAAATTACAGATGAGTGCAATAAAATTTTTATTGAACTAGTGCAATAAAGAACCAGTTTTTTCACTAAATATAGTTCAATAAAGTTTTGTTTTTTGCATGAACGTAGAAAAAATAATTTTAAAGTAACTACCTAAATTTTTTTGCTCTTTCCTGATTCATATACATATTTAATTAGATAAGTCAAATAATATAACCGTGATAGCGCAGATCGTACGGTGTCTAACTTTTTTAACTTGACATTTAGTGACCGTTTCGTTACGCTGGTTCAATTCCCGATGAATTTTATTATTTTTATTTTATTTCTTTTATTTTGAAAAAAATATGAAAATTGGAAAAATCCGACTATTGTTGTTTATTTGTTTTAAATATGTTATTTATCATAATATAACTCCTACAGTTAATCTTTTCAAAATTTTTTGTACTATTTTGATTACTGGTCAGAATAAAAATTGAATAGATATTACCCAGACAGCACAAAGACATCTTTAAGACGTCCATAAGACATGACAGACGTCTAAAAGACGTCTTATGACGCCGGCTAGACATCTTTAAGACGTCTGATGTTACAAAAGGTAACGTTCTTAAGACATCTTAAATATGTCTGTTTTTCGACATTGGTAAGACATACTCTCGGATTTAGTTTTAAAAGCATCTGTAAATTCCTTCTATACAAAATAAAACACATATTTTCTATAAACATTATTATTAACAAAACACTGAAACATTTCGTTAAAAAAAGTAATATTACAAATTATTTTTTTTTTTTATTCTTCCTCCGTTAGTGGTTAATCTTCTGTCGGATGCTCTTCTAAGCCAGCCTGGGTTGCAATAATTTTAACTGCGTTGTGTAAAATATGCAATTATAGCTCACTCTGTCAAATTCGCTTTAATAGGATTTTCAGTAAATAGTGTGGGTTAAGGGTGGTCAAAGAATGGCAATCTTCCTGTACTTTCAACTCTAATTCAGATATATTTACATCCGATGAAGCTTCTAAGTCAGCTCTAGACGCCTAGACGTACTTAAAACACTAATAAGGGTTCTTCTATTTGGTTTTTCAGAATATGTAGTAAACTTTTATGCTTA